TTATTTGAAAGGATAGATAGGACTTTGTGGAGGGTGAGGAAAGGCATTCCCATAAATGGTCATGCATGTGCAAAGTCAGGGAGGTGACAGATAGCTTGACCTGACCGGCTGTGGGCAGCTGGAATTCAGGAGACCAGAGGGACTGAGAGCCAATAAGTCTGGGTGGCTGGGCCACAGCTCAATGATGTGAGGGTTGGATTTCATCTGTTAAATCTCTTGTATAATTTTGAGCAGTAGAATTCTTGTATTTCATTGCATTATAGAGAGTTCCTTCTAATGGCAGTTTGGAAGATAGATTGCATTTGTGAATGACTAGTCCAGAAGATGGTGTATTAGGATATGGGTGGTATTCAGAGGATTCTGCAGCAGGGGCAATGTCAATGGTACATTTACATTTTTAATGTGCAGATTACAGGAATGTCAGGTGTACTAACAATGTTTAGAAATATGGGGCATTTCTCCTGGTTAACATTGGGGATAATGTCTAAGGCTGCCATATTTGTGCAGGTTACCCACTGTAGAACAGCACATGGCTAAGCTGTGAATGCTGTCATGGACTGCACCCACCTAGAGGGGGCTCCATTTTTCCAAATTGCACAAAGGCACTATGGCTAACAGCAGCCCAAATAGCAGTCCTGATAGTTGTTACCCTTTTTCAGACTATTTAGTGTACTCTACATAAGCAGGTACTTCAGAAAGTCTGTGGAAAGATGGAATTACAAGATTTGGGTGCAAAATTTTTTGAAATCCATGCGGTTTTTTCATAACATGCATTTCCTTGAAATTTTGGAAGATTCCCTATATGTAGATTTTAGAAGTTTTTTTGTGGTAAAATACACATATCTTTTTTTTTTTTTTTAAGATGTATTAATTTATTTGAAAGGCAGATTTACAGAGAGGCAGAGGCAGAGAGAGAGAGAGGGAGAGAGGTCTTCTCTCTGCTGGTTCACTCCTCAGATGGTCACAATGACCAGGGCTGAGCCAGGCTGAAGCCAGGAGCCAGGAACTTCTTCTGGGTCTCCCATGCGGATGCAGGAGCCCAAGGACTTGGGCCATCTTCTACTGTTTTCCCAGGCCATAGCAGAGAGCTGGATCAGAAGTGGAGTAGCCAGGACTCGAACCAGCGCCCACATAGGATACTGACACTGCAGGCGGTGGCTTAACCTGCTATGCCACAGCAATGGTCTTACTTCATGACATTTTGGACAATTCCCTGTACATGGGATTTTCAAAGTGTTTGCAATAAAATAAATGTTTCTTTTGATTCTATTTTTCCACAAAGGTTTTGAAGGACCATCGTACCATACCCAAGAAACGTAATTGTGAGACAACAGAGAGAGACTAAGAAATTTTACATTCTGTTTTTATCCCTTGTGGTTTGATATGCCATTTGGCATTTGGGAAAGGCACACAGAAGTCTTGGTATGATTTGGACAAGGACATCTTGAACACGTAAACAACACCTTGAACAACTTTGCTAATCCCTGAGATCTCCCACAAGAAGCTGTCATTGTTCCGTCTCCACAGATTTTGGCGTTTCAGGCCTGAAAGGGAGACTTGAGCGGGGCTCCTCTTGGAGGGGTCCTCCCAGAGTCTTCTGTCATAGTGCACCTTTGCTTTTTTTTTTTTTTTTAAAGATTTATTTATTTATTTGAAAGTCGGAGTTACACACAGAGAGAAGGAGAGGCAGAGAGAGAGAGAGGTCCTCCATCTGATGGTTCACTCTCCAAATGGCCAAAACAGCCGGAGCTGCACTGATCCGAAGTTAGGAGCTTCTTCCGGGTCTGCCACATGGAGCAGGGTCCCAAGGACCTGGGCCATCATCTACTGCTTTCCCAGGCCACAGCAGAGAGCTGGATTGGAAGTGGAGCAGCCGTTTCTTGAACCGGCACCCATATAGGATGCTGACACTGCAGGCAGTGGCTTTACCTGCTACGCCACAGTGCCGGCCCCACTAATGCACCTTTGCAAAGAGTTATCTTCTTGTCTAGCGCTTGATCCAGATGTTCCTTCATTTTAATTTTCTTTCTCTAGGCGATAAGGAGGACACATGGATGGCCTTGACAGTAGGGGTCAGCAAAATATGGCCTGCAGGCCAGATCAGCCCTGGGAGCTAAAGATGTTTACATTTTTAAATAGCGAGGAAGTACGTCCATAGCTGCATAATGTTTTGTATTCTATAAACCTCAAGTGTCAGTGTCTCACACAACTATTGGAACAAGCCACGCTGATTCACAGTTACTATTGTCTGTGGCTGCTCTTGGGCCAAGACTGCACAACGGGGTCTTCGGGACAAGAGACCTTAGGACCTGCCTAAAACGTTACTGTCTGGCCCTTGATAGAACAAGCTGGCTGACCTTTACCCTAGAAAAATAGTTTAAAGATATACAGGACTAATGTACATAACATCTTTTTTTTTTTTTTTTTTTGAAGACTTACTTATTTGAAAAGTAGAGTAGGGGGAGGGAGGCAGAGAGAGAGGGAGACAGAGAAAGATATCTTCCATCCACTGGTTTACTCCTCAAATGGCCACAACGACCAGGCTGACCCACATGGGTGCATGGGTCCAAGCTCTTGGACCATCTTCTGCTGCTTTCCCAGGCACATTAGCAGTGAATTAGAAGTGGAGCAGCTTGGGGCCGGCACTGTGGCTCAGTGGGTTAAAGCCCTGGTCTGAATCGCAGGCATCCCATATGGGAGTTGATTCTAGTCCTGACTGCTCCTCTTCCGATCCAGCTCTCTGCCAAGGCCTGGGATAGCAGTAGAAGATGGCCCAAGTCCTTGGGCCCCTGCACCCACGTGGGAGATCTGGAAGAAGTTCTTGGCTCCTGGCTTCGGATCGGCACAGCTCCGGCCGTTGCAGCCATCTGGGGAGTGAACCATTGGATGGAAGACCTCTCTCTCTGTCTCTACCTCTCTCTGTAACTCTTTCAAATAAATAAAATAAATCTTTAAAAATAAAAAAGAAGTGGAGCAGCTGGGACTTGAACCGGTATTCATATGGTATGCTGGCATTGCAGGCAGCAGTCCAACCCAATGTACCATAATACCAGCCCCTTTACATAAAATTTCTTTCTCCCTCCCTCCCTTCCCCGCCTCTTTTATTTGACAGGTAGAGTATTAGACAGTGAGAGAGAGGGACAAAGAGAAAGGTCTTCCTTCCGCTGGTTCACTCCCTAAATGGCTGCTACAGCCGGCACTGCACTGATCCAAAGCCAGGAGCCAGGTGCTTCTTCCTGGTCTCCCATGTGGGTGCAGGGGCCCAAGCAACTGGGCCAACCTCCACTGCCTTCCTGGGCCACAGCAGAGAGCTGGACTGGAAGAGGAGCAACCGGGACAGAATCCGGTGCCCATATGGGATACCGGTGCTGCAGGTGGAGGATTAACCAAATGAACCACGGTGCTGGCCCCTGTACATAAAATTTCATCTAATGTTCTCTTTTTTTTTTTTAAAGAAAATCTTTATGAATATGTAATTGACATATAATAAATTGCACATATTTCAAGTGTATAGCTGGATAAAATTTGACGTATGTAAATACTCCAGAAGACATCACTGTGACAAGACAGTGTCAGAATATGCCCACTGCCCCCCACATTTCCTCATGCCCCTTCCTGCCCCACATTGTCCCCAGCAATCACTGACTGGCCTTCTCTCACAATAGATTAGTTTGCATTTTTTAGTTTTGTATAAAAGGAATGACATTTTGTCTGGCTAATTTTACTCAGCAAAATTATTTTGAGATTCATTCAAGTGGTGGGTATCAAGAGTTTTTTCCCTTTTTTGAGTTATTGACTCCTATTCCATTGTCAGGGTATAACATATTTGTTTATTCATTTATCTCTTGATGGGCATGAGGGTTTTTTAAAATTTTCCTGGTTTTGGTAATTGCAAATAAATGTTCTATGTCTGTGTTTTTGCATAGATATATCCTTTCTTTTCTCTTGGTAAATAGGAGTGAAATGTCTTGATTATAAAACAGGTGTATATTTAACTGTTTGAGAAGTTGTCAAATGATTTTAAGGTAGCTTTGTCATTTCACATCCCCATTAGAGTGTTTGAGAATTCCATTTCCTCCATAGGAGCCAGACAGAATTTTCTAATATCCAAGTATGTGACCTGTCTACTTATAGGAAGCACAAGATGAATTTGTAACAGTTCAATAAATCAGGAAGGCATAGCCACAAAAATTGATTCCATTTTAACAATCAACTTTGGAGTCTAAATGATCTAGATTTGCTGAGAAAAGTGATTTGACACATGAAATTAACACCCTAGAAAGCCCTCTATCAAGGTAGTTAAGATCCTTACTTTTTCTACAGTGGAAAGCAAATGTCACTGTATAATTTTGGATGTTCCTAAAATGTGTGCCTTCTCCCTCATTCTGGGATCAGAGTCCTCGGAGACACTGGGAAGATCTAGTATAGGTACATATCAAGTAAGAGCTGATCAAAACACAGATTACAGGACACCCTCCCCAGACTCTGATCCACAGCTCTAGGTTGGGCCCAGCCACTTAGATTTTTAAGAGGCACTGTAGTTGATTTAGGGTACACACTTTGTTACACCTAAGTGTTAGAACCTTGGGACCACTTGTTTGCCGAGTAGTGGGATTAAGCATTATTCCAGCTGTTAGATTTTAGCTGAGGTCTTTGGTCACTAGCCTAGTCAGTACAGGTTTCTTCATGGTTTTTTTCTACAGTTGCTGTATTACAGGATCATTTCAAACTGTTGGTCCACCCTACCCTCTCTGCCCCCCCCCCCCCCCGGGTCTTTTATTCTTTTTCCCATAATAAGACAGGGCCACGGTAGGATCTGTGGGAGTAAAGAGATATCTTCATGTGAGGAAAACTAGTTTTATTCCCCCTAATCACCATTTATTGTCTTAAAGTGTTTTATGTGCTGAATTCACTCATTCGAAGAGTGCAGGTTGTTAATCATACAGTGAAATTATAATACAACCTTGCTTTTCTCTTTTTAAATATATATTCTACTTTAGAACTATTTTGGTGGAAAGCTCTCTGCTCAAGGGAAAATGCCTTGGATCGAATATAATCATGAAAAAGTTTCTGGCACTGAATTCATAATTGACTTTCTGGAAGAGAAACTGGGAGTGAATCTAAACAAGAACCTTGGCCCTCATGAAAGAGCCGTCTCCAGAGCAGTGACCAAGATGGTGGAGGAGCATTTCTACTGGTGAGTCCCTGCTGGCTGCACCCCCAGTCTCTCCGCGCAAGCCCAGAGTCCTGGGTCACCTTGCAGAAGCCCCTCCCACTTTATCAAAAACTTCCTGTTAACGGTTTGGAGTGAGAAGTCTGACTGACAGGGTTAGAGGTAGGACTGTTAAGTTTCCAGGTATCTAGACAAGGGGTCGGCACACACTTTATAGTCTTTGCAGGGTCTTTATCTTCAATGGCAGCTCTGCCCAAATCTCATCACAAAGGCAGCCATAGACAGTGTACAATGAATGAGCACAGCTGGGTGCCAATAACGCTTTGTTAGGGGCACTGACACTTCAGTTTCATTTTATGCAACTTAGTCCTCCTCTTTTGATTTTTTTCCCACCATTGAAAAATGTGTGAACATCTTAACTTATGACCTGTGGTTTGCTAAACACTGAACTGGACTTCACTGAGGTGAGGGGGATATTACAGCTGACTGAGTTCAGGGCTCTTTACCAATACAAACTGCAGAATTAGAGTAATATTACATCACACACCCAGAGGAGGGAATGAAAGACTAAGTTGAGATAGGATCCCTAAGTGGAATACGTTATGAATCCGTCATAAGATAGTCAGTTTTCCATGGGTAGCAAGAGTTTTTCTCTGTTCCAGAAGCAATGCATGCCACTCCTGATTGCCTGACTCCTGGTTTGTCTTCCCCAAGGTGGAAGCATACATAACACAAGTTATGCTGTTCTGCTTCTTGTGGCCTTGAGCTGGCTGTGACACCAAGTGAATGAAGCAGCTGTGTGGCTCCTCTTACCTTCCAAACTCATTTGTCTGGTGGCTTTTTCTTTTTTCTGTTTTCTTTTACTAGTTTTCTAGAGTTTCTGCACCTTTCTCTACACACCAGTAGATGTGAGCTATTTTCTCCCTGATTTCTGCAACTTTGTCTTGTTCCAATGGTTAAATTAAGATTTGTGAAGCCCACTTTTTGGCATTAGTGGTTCTTGCCTTGTCAGACACTGACCTCCCACCTTGAGAGAGACACTCAGAGTGGAGCTGATTCCTCCTCATTTCCCTGTTTCAGCTATTCTGCTCCTTCTCAATGGAAAGCTTGCTGCTCCTATCTCTTGTATTTTAAGTGACCCTCTGCTTTTCTCTTCCTCTTTCTATTTTTGGGTCTTGCCCATTTTGTTCCAGGGCTGACCTGAGCCCTTCTTTAGAGACAAAGGAAGGGCTGAGCAAGGAAGGGACACGGGAGAGGCTGGAGACAAGGTACTGATGAGTGTGAATGAAATCAGAGTCGGTGTTCCAGGAAAGAATCTGTTTTTTTTTTTTTTTTTTTTTTCCCCTAATAATACTGATGGAGAAATACTGAGGCTGTCCTCTCGAATAGTTCAGGAATTGCAGAGGGGACCAAGATGCATGACTGCATGTGATGTGCCAGCTTCGTGGAAAAGTCTTGTGGGATGCATCCCATCTCACGTGCCAGGCTCCAGCCCAGCTCGGCAGCAGTTAGGAGTGAAGAACCCACCACCCTGCTCCTTGTGTGTGCCCTTGGTGCAGGTGATTGATGGCTTGTTGATGCAGAGAGCTGTAACTGTGTTAGGCAACTGAGAAGCTTCAGACTGTACATTTCAGTTGGTACTTGAGCAACAACTCTGATTTCTATTGTGTAGTTCAGAAAATATATATTCCGGTTAGAAAGTTTTTAATCCAGTAAAAATTCCCAGCTGCTACATGTCACTGCTTTTGTTTCTGGGTGTGTGTGATTTATGTATAGTGCCTGCTAGAGGTTCATCTTCTACCATCTCCAGCTCTCCATCTCTCCTACCACCAGTCCTGAGTACCATGGGGAACAAGGAGTGGGTGTGGGTGGAGGTGGGAGGGACAGCTGTCAGGTGGATCCCTGGTTGGGAGCAATTTGAATTTCACAGACTGTAAACTCCCAAGTGCTTGAAATTGGCTTGGGTCTTAAGGAGACTCTTCTAAGGATGACTTTATTTCTCTAATTTCCTTTTTAACAAAAAAAAATTCTTGGCCCATCTATTTCTTCATTTGTGTCTACTTAAAGGTTTGAAGACGAAAACAGTGAAGGTAGGAGGGAAGGTCTTGACTGAGATCTGAATATGCAGACAATGTTGAAATCAGCACTTCTTTAGACTCCAGCAGCAGAAGGAGGAATGTACCTTGTCTCTGGCTGTTTCTTTTCTTTTCTTTTTTTTTTTTTTTTTTTTTTTTTTTTTTTGACAGGCAGAGTGGATAGTGAGAGAGAGAGACAGAGAGAAAGGTCTTCCTTTTGCTGTTGGTTCACCCCTCAATGGCCGCCACGGCTGGCATGCTGCGGCTGGCACACTGCGCTGATCCGAAGGCAGGAGCCAGGTGCTTCTCCTGGTCTCCCATGGGGTGCAGGGCCCAAGGACTTGGGCCATCCTCCACTGCCTTCCCGGGCCACAGCAGAGAGCTGGACTGGAAGAGGGGCAACCGGGCCAGAATCCGGCGCCCCGACCAGGACTAGAAGCCGGTGTGCCAGCGCCGCTAGGTGGAGGATTAGCCTAGTGAGCCGCGGCGCTGGCCTTCTCTAGCTGTTTCTTAAAATTCTCAAGCCTTTAGCCAACTTCTTGCTTTGGGAAAACCCTGCAGAGACTTTCCCAAGAGCTCTAAATTGCAGAGGAGGAAAAGACTCCGCCCCTACTCTCAAGAAAACGCTTCAAGCCAGAACCTCCAGCTGCTCTTTTCTTAGCTGCCCTCTGCCTTTTCCTGTCCTGGACCCAGAATCCACCACAGAATGTGCAGATGTGGAAGCTGGGCCGGTAGGGAACTGACCACCATATGGAGGAAACTTAGAAGTGTGAGATCCTGTTAAATTCTGGCAGTCAGCAAGCTCTAGGCTCTGTCTGTACTCACAGAGGTGAAAGTGGGGTAAACCTGTCTTTGACTCAGCCATTTGATGATCTGCAGTTTTCAGTTACGTTTATTTGGACTTGAAACCTTAAAAACACTTCACTTCAGGTATGACTTTCTGAAAAGCAGCGGTGATAGGAAGCTGTCATTATTATGTAACATCACGTAATTCTGAAGCTCTGAGTTAGGTCTGTTCAAAATAAGCACACTCAGCTATACAATGGTTTTTTGTTTTGTTTTATTTTGCTCTTGAAATCCATACAATTATGTCCCACTTACATTATAAAAGCTATTATTGAAGATGAAGAAGATGGCTTTTTTCTCATTCCCTGTGTTCTACTAAGTGCTTAAGATAGATCCAGTGCCGAGAAGCTGATATAAAGGGAAGCCTGAGAGACATGGGGTCAAATTACTGGAATGCGATTGATTTTGGTTTACACACATTATAGCTTCTTTAGTGTACTTACTGCCCCCTTGTGGACATAAGGGAGTATTTTAAGTATCCTTACAGCCTGGCAGGAAGTGTGCAGGGCACCACTGCCAGACTGAAAATATGGGTGTTATTGCAGTGAATTCAGATTTGTTCCTAGGTTGGTCATGATTTTAAAATTTCATGCTTAGCTTTTTATGTAGTTTCAATGAGTGGGGAAATAGGGTGCCCCATAAAATGATTTACCCAAGATCTTTTCAAAAAGCCAGAAACCTCTCCCTTACATCGTGATTGTTGTGTTTTACGTTTCGTTTTTTTAAAAAAATTATTTATTTGAAAGGAGAGATCTAGAGATAGATATATTGATGGAGAGAGAGAGAGAAAGAGAGAGAGAGAATCTTCCATCCACTAGTTCATTCCTCAAATGCCTGCAGCAGGGTTGGGCCAGGCCAAAGCCAGGAGCCTGGAACACCATCTAGGTACTTGGGTCATCTTCTGCTGCTTTCCATGGCACATTAGCAAGGAGCTGGATTGTAAGCAGATCCACCAGGACTTCCACTGGCACTGTCATATGAGATGCCAGTGTCGCCAGGAAGGTTTAACCCTCTGTGCCACAATGCCCCCTAAGATGATCTTTAAAAAAAAAAAAAAAACTCTTTGGCCTCATTTTTATAGGCATGATCAGATGTATTTGTTGCCACAGGAAAATTAGTATCTTAACTTCCTGAAGTAAATTCTTAAAATGATAATTTCATTGCTCAGCCTACTCTTCTTGCCAAATTGGCGCTTCCTGTCCTTTCCAGTTAATAGTAGTTCATTCCTTGTACAGTGGACCCCTTCCCAGTGGAGAAGGAAGAGCCACAAATTGCAGAAAAGAAGGGTGGTGGCCCCTTCTTCACCCTCCTTAGCATATCCCTCCCTCCATTCTTCTATCCAAGTACACGGCATCCCTGAGAAATACCACTTAGCATTAGTTGGCTCAGAGCAAGCCTTTTTTTTTTTTTCCTATTTAATCAGTAATTTATTCTTTCAGGAAACTTAATGAATGACTAGTGGTGGCCAAATGCTTTGACCTTTTCAAGTGGCTCACAGGCTGAAGGTAGATATCCAGCCTTTGCAGCGATCATCGCTGGGGATGGGTTGGAGAACTGAGGATAAGAATCCAGCTGCTGGAGAGGTGAGGGTAGGGCTTCCCAGAGAGGGTGGTGGCACCGTGGAGTCAAGGTGATGTCACAGCTGGAGCTACTGGTGACGCAGCAGGTGGCAGGGGAAGGCTAGGGTATCCAGGCAGAGGGAACAGCATCTGCAAAACTTTAGGGTGAGCATGTTCATCCAGCCAGGCTGAGATAACAGAACACCATAGACTGGGTAGCTTTAGGAAGAACTGAGGTTTATTTATGTGAGTTCTGGAGATTGAGAAGTCCAAGGTCAAGACTCAGTGTCTGGTGAAGGCCTGCTTCCTGGTTCACAGTCATCTCACTGTGTCTTCACGTGGCAGAATAGATGAAAGAGCTCTCTGGGATTTCTTTTCCCCATCACCTGCCATAGGCCCCTCCTCAGGATGCCATCACATTGAGGATCAGGTTTCAACCTAAGAATGTTGAGGGAACCTAAGTAGTCCTTCTATAGTAGGGAGGTGCATGCAGTTTTTATGACTAGTGCCAAGGGTGCATGGAAGGCAGTGCTGGGGGTGGGACCAGGGAAGAGTCAGAGAGGTGAGACCATGAAAGGGGAGGGGGCAGAGAAGAATAACTCTGGGGTTCTGGCTGGCAAGAGGAGAAGCAGGTAGAAGGTAAGCAGTGGACAGGAAAGTTAAGAGAGCGTTCCAAGGAAGAGGCTGGTAATGTCCGGTGCTGTAGAGAGAACCAGGAAGCTGAATAGACAGAGGTGCTTATTGGGATGTAGCAGCAGGAAGTGATTGTTGACTTGGAGGAGAGTAGTTTCAGTGGGGTGATGGAAGTAGACAGAGTTTTCAGGAATTTTGGTGTGAGAGGAAGTGGCTTCATGGTTGTAATGATGTGGAACCATGTATAATATGATGTTGTCTACCTGTAGTAGCTGATTAAGGAATCTGTGAGCACTCATTTTATTTGGTATTGTAAGTGTACATATTCTTCAAGGGCTTGAATCTGAAAGAGCTTGCCTCAGTCTCATTTGCCTCTCTGCCTTGTCACTGGCCCTTAATGTTGGGCATAGGGAGTGAAAGAGAGGAAGAGAAATCAAGAACAGGGCAGGGAAGAGGAAAGAGGCAGACTTTCTGAGGGTTCTTACACCTGAAAAATTTTGGAATGAACTCCATGTTCCTTCTTTTGGGCCCAACATTCAATGTACTACTTCAGGTACCATTGCATTGATTGGGACTTCTCCTGCCAAGCTGTGTGGCCTTCTCTCTCTGCTACCTGCTGCTCCTAAAACTCTACCCATTGCTATGTCCTCATCTCTATATATGCCTTTATGTACATTGCTCAGTCTGTGGAAGTCATGGAAGTTACCAGGCAGGAACTCTGAAACCCTCTGCAGCCCATCAACCCTTGCAACACCCTACTTCCCTCCATCTCAAGAAAGAGGTGGCCCTACTTCTCTCCAAACCGCTCCTTCCAATCTGGTCTTCTCATCTTCTAACTTGCCCTGAATGGGGTTTCTCCTCATCCTAGAAACTCTCTTCGGGGACCCCATGACCTCTCACAGCTTTAAAGCTGCCACCAAAAGGCTCTTGTCCACTAGTTCTCTATCTTGGGACTAAACCTGTTTCTTGAATTCTCCATCTTCTAGACGTCTTCACTTGGGGGTTCCAAGGGACCTTCAAGTCAATAGATTAGCTTTTCTTTCATTGTCAAATCTGTTTCACCTTGTGTAATCCAGTATCAGTTTGTAGCATTATCATCTTCTCAAGCCATCAATCTAGGAGAAAATATCTGATTTATCCTTATATATAATTCTTAGATCCAGCAGTCAGTTGATTCTTTCTCATGTATCTCGGTAGTTCTCCTGTACTTTGCTTATTTATTTAGCATCTTCTCTACCATTACCTTAGCCAGTGCATCATTTGTTGCTGTCTTGCTGTGGTCGTCTAGGAAGCAACCTTTCTACCAACACTTTCTCTGCCTTCCAGCCCTTCCTTCATCTTGCCACAGGTTTGGTTATGTTTCCTGTCTACATAAAACCTCCGAGTCATTAGCTTTTGATTTTGGAATAAAGTTCAGCTGCTTTGGCATCAGACCTGTCCTGATCTGATCCTTGCTCATCTCTCGGGCCTCATCCCTTAGAATCATCCTCATTTGCATCCTGTGCCCATCCACTCTTGCTGGAGCTCTTGGCAGCCATCAAGCAGCCATTGTTCTTCTTGGGGATACCCACTCCCTCTGCTCGGCCTGGGGAGCTTCTGCTCATGCTTCAGTTGCCCTTGTGCTTATGACAAAGCCTATGTAATTTGCCTGGAAAGAACTCTTCTCTGTCTTCAAATCAACCTGTCAGCGTAGAGCCACACGGTCCTCATTTTTACACTTTAGGTGCTTCACCTGTACTATTATTACTTGGTCAAGCTGAATTTAGGATAATTTAGTTTTATCTTCACACCATCGACTTCCAAAATAATCAAAGGTTGTTAACCCTTTACTGTGAATTTAGATCTAGTACAATTAGATTCAAAGTGCTCATTATTCTAACAGGTTGTGAAAATTGCCACCTTAATTACTGCAGATGTAGAGAGAAGAACAATAGAAAAGCATTTAATTTTTATTTATGTAAAATTTACTGGAATAAATATGAGGTATTTTATACCAAAAGAGCCACTGAATGCAGTGATTGCACACTTTAGACATCATGAAATTCATTTCATGACTCCTCAATAGTTTATTTTGAAAGACTTACAAAACAGAAACATGCAAAGCTTTCTACGAGGATTTGTGGGAATTCTTTTATGCCAGTGATAAAGAAGAATTATGGCTGCAGTACACAGTGGTTGTGAGAACTGGGGGCAGGACTTTTCAGTAAAAATCAGGAGCACTTCAAAATTTTAAAAGAATCTGTTGCTTTCTTATTTTCATTTTTTAGAGTAGAAAACCTTAAAACCCTAAAAGAATAGGACTATATAAAATGATTAAAATTCCAGGGTCTCTTTTTCTCTTGCTTCTGCCCCTCACTAATGTGAGAAATAGCACATGATGGTAGCTACAATGTGCCATCACCCATTTTGTTCTTTCTAGAGGTATTTTCCACTCCTCTGATTTTTTGGAAACGATCATTACTGCCACATCTGCCAGTACTAGTGTAGCCATGACTGCCAATGCGTTTGTTTTTAATAATTTGAGGAAGAGCTGTATGTACACCCACAGCTGCATTCGCCTTGGCCTTTGGTAGGACACCCTTTTAGTTGCTGTCTACTATTAGCCGTAAAAACATCCTGGCAATTGCATAGGTTCAGAGAACAAAATCAGCAAAGTCCCTCAGGACTCATGTTGCGGCCAACAGGATGTGTGAACAGGGTGCAGCCATTTAACTGTCTGTACCTGTCGTACGGGAGCATCTGGGTGCGTGAGTTTGCTCCAGGCAGCACCCCGGTGGGAAAAATGCTTCAGCCAGGTTCCTCTGGTATTTGTGTTCCCTTTAGGATCCTTGAGAGAAAATTGAGGTTGAGTTGATTTTCTGGAGAGCGAATAATTTGCATAATATTATAATTTCTATGATTGATAAACATGGACAGATGTACCTACTCCCTAATTGTCTAATTGTATGTCAAAAAGGCAAAATGCTTTCTTAAAAAAAAACCCTTTATATTGTGAAATATAAAATACGTATGGAGTGCACACAATAGAAATTTATAGCTTAATTAATCCAAAGCACAACAATTTCTTTTTTTTTGCAATTTTTATTTTATTTATTTATTTTTTAAACATTTATTTGTTTATTTAAGAGGTAGAGTTTCAGACAGAGAGGGAGAGACAGAGAGAGGGGTCTTTCATCCGCTGGTTTACTCCACAAATGGCTGCAATGACTGGAGCTGGGCTGATCTGAAGTTAGGAGCCAGTAGCGTCTTGCAGGTCTCCCACATGGGTGTAGGGTCCCAAGCACTTTGGTCATCTTCCACTGCTTTCCCAGGCCATAAGCAAAGTGCTGGATGAGAAGAGGAACAGCTGGGACACAAACCGGCACCCATATGGGATGCTGGCACTGCAAGCAGAGGTTCAACCTACTATACCAAGCATCATCAGCCCCAGCTGCAATTTTTAAAATGAAACTTTCTACTGGAAACCAAAAGAAATCATTAAAGATGGAAACGGTTCCCAGAAGGCCAAGATAACCATTGCAAAGCAGAACGATTTCATGGAAAATAGAATTTATAAAAATCTACACGAATTTCCAAATACACTTGACTTTCATTCTACTTTTTCCATGAACTTTTTGAAGTCCCCTGTACCTGTGAAACCACGATTTTGCCTCAGAAAGGGAAAGATGACAGCGCTCCAGTCGCTACTGCCTCTTGCCAGTGGGCTTCTCTTAGTTTTCTGTGGGCTTGCATAGGGAAAGCAAAGGTGTGGTGTCGGGAGGAGGAAGGAGGGGTCTGGAGGTGGGGACAGGAGTGGTTTGATGGAACTGGAAGATACAGCGTTGTTGTCAGGATTTTTCACCATTTCTCTCACAGGCCCGTAAGTCTAGGCAGCGACTGGAGCCTGTGGTGCTATCTGCCACTTAGATTGCTCCGTGTAAAAGCTGCTCGTGTTCCTCCAGGGGGTGCTGCATTCTGAGCAAGTCCCTGCAAAGTGCCTGTGTGGCAACGATGCGCGCATGTGTCCGGTGCATGGTAGTAACTTGTTTCCGCACAATTCCAGGACGTTAGCTTATTGCCAGTGGGTGGACAACCTCAATGAGACCCGGAAGATGCTCTCCCTTAGCGGTGGCGGTCCCTTCAGTAACCTGCTGAGGTGGGTCGTGTGCCACATCACGAAAGGAATTGTGAAGCGCGAGATGCACGGCCACGGCATCGGCCGCTTCTCGGAGGAGGAGATTTACATGCTGATGGAGAAGGACATGCGGGCCTTGGCGGGGCTGCTGGGTAACGTACCACGCCTTCTCGTCTCCATTTTATATCCTGACTTCTTGCATGCTGAGTAAAGCACTGCCGGCCGACTGGTGCAGTTTATGTGGTTGGTTTCTTTGCTTTCACGTGTAGATTGCAGCCCCACCGTTGAGCCAGACCCCCTAATTTTCAAAAGCATGCATCTTTGTTAATCACTGGCCCACAACTGTGTTAATGTCGACAGAGAATAGAGCGTGTTCAGCATCTCTACGCGGCTGTAGGTGACTGGTGTTGCTGAATGTACTGTGAGAAACGGGGTGATTTTGAGCAAGGAATCGCTTCTGTTTGTGAACAGGTCAGGGTTCAAAGGCTGCTTCTGAATACAGATGCCCGCGGGTTTGGCCACGTGCTGTGAGCATCAGGCTGTTTGAGACACGTTCTAAACTGAGTGTGTGTGTGTGTGTGTGTGTGTGCCCGCGCACGCAACAGGTATTGTTTTCTCACCACTTACTGTTTGTGTTTTTATTGCTCTTGTTACTAGCAGAGTTGAACTCTGGTTGCTTATTTACTCTGGGCTGGTGAGGATGGATGCACGCCTGCTCTCCTGGCTGTCTGGAGGTGGCCTGGGCTGACTTGGCTCTGTTCCATCCTGTGCAGCTATACCCATTTATAAACAGATGATTTGAATTTGGGACCTTTTTGGTGGGAAATAATGACTTCTCCTGCTGGGGCAGCTAATGTACAAGGGGTCAAATCCTCTGTGTGACTGGGTCACAGGGCCAGGTTCTTCAGGGGCTGCTGTGTCTGTAAAGATGGGTTTTCATAGGCCCTCCCTGTGTGAAAATCATTCCCAGAAAAACTCTCTCCCTGATTCTGGAGCACTTTAGGTACCTGTCCTCTACCTCGGTCCATCCTGGGAGACAGCAGGGATGGCCCAAACGTTTGGCTCCCTGCCACTGGACCCAAACCCAATTAACAACTCCTAGCTTTGGCCGGGCCAGAAGCCCAGCTGTTTGCAGGTGTTTGGGAAGTGAGTGAGTGGATGAGAGATCTGTCTCTACCTTTCAAGTGAATGAATAGATGAATAAAAGGCAGGAGACTGGAAATTTGCTATTTTGATTCTAGCAGCTGCCTTAGGAATGAAAGCCTGTACTGGGTAACGCCTGTCCCTTGCAGAATAACCGCCTTGGCTGGCTCCTTCCTGGTTTGCACTCTGACATTTGCTAGCTCTGGAGTCTTTTCTTTAGCCTGACTGCAAGAGGCAGATCTGATGCCACATGCAGCTATCAGCAAGCTTTGCCATGTGGTTATGGTATGTGGGGGTTTGGATGCTGAGTGGATTCCTTCAAAAGCTCTGTGTAGCTTGAAGAATTGACACTGTCCAGCCCTATCTGTTGTGCTGCTTCACTGGCATCAGGTGCACCTGCTTGGGGTAGATATGAGTGGAATTAGCCTCAAGTTTGCCTCCTTTCTTTGGAAGCTTAATCCTAGACTGTTGGGCTCAGAAACCAGGCTGATGGCTGGGTTATTTCCTCCTTAACAGTGGCTGTGTCTATTTCTGGCTTTTTCCTCCTCTTTACCAGCTCATGAATTGGGAGCACCACCAGCCACAGAGTTGATTCCCCAGAGTGTTGGCAGAGATTATGCTAGGAAAGTTCTGCTGATCGTTAATAATCTAACAGTTTTTTTTTTTTTTTTAAACCAGAGCAGGGTGATCATTGCTTTTCTGGGGCATTCCTGTTTGGGAGCCCCAGGGAGCAGGGTGATGGTAACAATCACTGACAGTGTTTCTGTAGGCTTTACTGATTTAGACAATGCTTTCTTCTCTATTTTCATGAGGTGGGAGGGAAATAGATGGCTCATAGTTAGTCTGGATACTTGCAAGTACAACAGTCTCCTCTTATCTGCATTCTCATTTTCTATGATTTCAGTTAGTCATCGTCAGTTGGGGTTTGAAAATATTAAATGGAAGATTACCAAAGTTCTTAAGTCTTAAATTGTGTGTCATTATGATTGGTGTGATAGAACCTCACACTCCAGCTTTGTCCTGCTGGGGGTGTGAGTCAGTTGTTTGTCCAGTGTATCCATACCGTATACCCTACCCAATCATTAATCGCTTAGTTACCTTCTTAGTGATCAAGATCAGTGGGCCCAGTATCTTAGTGCTTGAGTTCAAGTAACCTTATTTTACTAAATGATGGCCTCAAAGCTCAGGCATATTGGGCATCTTCTAAAAGTTCATGGAAAATGAGAAAACTATGCATAGATTTCAAATAATTTACACCCAGATTAAGTTATCTTTTTAATTCCATTTTCCAAGAACTTTTTAAAGACCCCATGTAGTAACTGGCAGTTCGGATGTGCCAGGAATGAACAGTGAAGTGCTTTCCCTAAGTTAAAAAATTGAAACTCTAAGTTTAGTAAAGAAAGCAAAACCACTGTATGCTGAGGTTGCTGCGATCCATAGTTGGTTATTGCTGTGGCTCTCTTACTGTGCCTAATTTGTAAACTAAACTTTATTATAAGCTTGTAGGAACTGAAAAACAGGATAAATAGGGTTCGGTATAGACAAGGTTCAGCATCCCCTGGCCATATTCGAACAAATCCCCTGAGGATAACAGGGTCTGTTCTATCTACATTACGGATAACACACACTCTGTATTACTCAGAGTGTGAGGTTTAAGTGAGATACTTCCTGTAAGGTACTTATCAGAACAACTGGCAATAAGAATTGCTAAATAGTATTATCTATTTCATTGTCGCTTTCACAGACTTTGTAGCACAACTTTATTAGCAACTTTGTTTTCTGGAAAAATGTCTTTTGAGCAAAAACCTTCTTTCTGATTTTTACATTTATTAATAAATGGTAGAAATTTCAGAGGGCTTAGAGAATCACAAGGAAGAAAAATAAGTCACTCATTTTATAACCTATTGCTAACCACAGTTACCATTTTGGGGTGTATGTTTTCAATATTTGTATGTATATTTTAAATCATGTGTTCCATTTTCTCTATTTTATTCCATCATTAAATATTCTATACCATGGGGCTGGCGCTGTGGCACAGTGGGTTAAATCCCCGGTCTGAAGCGCTGGCATCCCATATGGGGGCCAGTTCTAGTCCCAGCTGCTCCTCTTCTGATCCAGCTCTCTGCTATAGCCTGGAGTAGCAGTAGAGGATGACCCAAGTCCTTGGGCCCTGGCACCCACGCGGGAGACCTGGAAGAGGCTCCTGGCCTTTGGATCGGCGCAGCTCCGGCCATTGCCGTATCTGGAGAATGAACCAGCGGATGGAAGACCTCTCTCTCTCTCTACCTCTCTCTGTAACTCCCTCTTTCAAATAAATAAAATAAATCTTAAAAAAAAATTATATACCATGTAATTCACCTTTGATGTCAAGAAAACTGATGGGGGATTTATCAGAAAAATCCCACTCTGTCTTCTGCCTTTTAAATATTTCTGCTCTGTGATTACTCTTAAGTCACAGGTATGATCTTGAATTAGATGGAAAATAAGACAGAATGAAAATAAAAACTCTGTAGTTTTGTCCTGTGTTAGTACAGAAATCCTCAGATGGCTGTTAGATGTGTGATGAAAGTAAAAGTAGGAGGTGGATTCCAATGTAAAGTCAGAAGTTACACGACCCTTTTGACAGATAAGGAAACCGAGGCCCAGAAAGGTCAAGTGATTTGCCACAGTAAGAAGTGGGGTCGTGGGGCTGGTGTTGTCATGTGTGGGGTAAGCTGCTGTCTGCAACACCAGCATCCCATGTGGGCTCTGGTTTGTGTCCTGGCTGCTCCACTTCTGATGGAGCTCCCTGTTAATGTATCTGGGAAAGCAGCAGATGATGACCCAAGTGCTTGGGCCCCTGCACCCATGTAGGAGATTTGGATGAGGCTGCTGGCTTTGGCCTGGCCTGGCCTTGGCTATTGCTGCCATATGGGGAGTGAACCAATGGATGAAAGATCTCTCTGTTTCTCCCTGTCTCTCTGTAACCCTGATTTTCAAATTATATATATATATTAAAGTGGAGCTACAAGTCAACTCCAACCCTGTTGTCTTCTGATCTGATTTTCACTCTGGTGTTCCTTACGAATTGTGGCTTAAAGTGCAGAAGTTGTCTTAGATCAAGATGACTCCTTTACAACGTTATCTAATGTGGCCAGAACTTTAACTGGCAAGTTAAAATGTGATCTCCAAAGTAAAACTGAAGTATGTTGTACTGGCTGCTCTCAGACACTGAGAGTGGAATTAGATGTGACTGTGGTCACTGATGCAGATTTCCTGAACTTTGGGAGCTGAAGTCATACACTTCAGGAGGAGGTTTTCTCCCCAGCCTCCAGGCTGAAGTACATGAGTACTTGAGGAGAGAGAATTTCTTTTTGGGGGATGCTCCTGAAAGAGCCAACTGATAAATAAAATTTGTAAATGGAAATGAGGACTCACAAAAATGCACTGTAACCTGCCTTTCTTGTATGTGTGTGTGTGTGTGTGTGTGTGTGTGTGTCTGTGTGTTCCCCATCCTGGCTTGCCTTTCAGAACTTGTCTTAAATTGACTCAAAGAAACATTCTGGAATATTCCCACCCCTCCTTCTATCACTGACCACATTTATTTGCTTATAGAAAGCCATTATTGTACCCTGCACTTCCTCACTGTGGCATTCCTCAAAAGTGCTGGATATTTTTGCTTTTTAATTTAATTTTATTTGAAAGGCAGAGACGGCCGGCGCCGTGGCTCAACAGGCTAATCCTCCGCCTTGCGGCGCCGGCACACTGGGTTCTAGTCCCAGTCGGGGCGCCGGATTCTGTCCCGGTTGCCCCTCTTCCAGGCCAGCTCTCTGCTATGGCCAGGGAGTACAGTGGAGGATGGCCCAGGTGCTTGGGCCCTGCACCCCATGGGAGACCAGGAAAAGCACCTGGCTCCTGGCTCCTGCCATTGGATCAGCGCGGTGCGCCAGCTGCAGAGCGCTGGCCGCGGCGGCCATTGGAGGGTGAACCAACGGCAAAGGAAGACCTTTCTCTCTGTCTCTCTCTCTCA